TTAATTTGTGAAACTGTGGGTAACTTATTCGACCCTAAATAATTGACCAGACAGATTAAAAGAGCCACACCTGCACTGCATGGGAAATTTGTGTAATAGTTATTTAGAGAGAGACACAGTACAAGCTGAGCATCGCAGAGTTGGGACTTACCCTTGGAGGTGGCTTCTTGATTGGGGTATGCTGGATAGTCGAGACTTAAGATCCTCCAGGAGATTGAATCGGGATCGTCCCTTTGGTACTAGCGATGGCACTGTCCACACCCTTCGAGCCACAAGATGTCTTGGCAGCTTTTGATGTACGCTTTCTATCCTATATGAATAGAAAGAAGTTTTACTTATCATGCACTTCATTCACACATTACTATATTTAACTTTCTCAAACTGGCCCAAATAGAAGTGAAATCAAAGAAAAGTATCCTGCAGTCAACCAACAGAACGTTCACAATAGAGAAGAAGTTATTGCAGCAGCTGAAAGTTTCGTACACACTAAATGTAAAATACTTTACCCTTACAACATTACTTGGACCAGAGCTATGCAGAGGGGTTAGCTTTTCATTCACTGGAGAAGACGGAGCTGAATTATGGCAACTTGGTAGGGATTCCAAGACCTTAGGGATCCTCAAGTTTTCAACTTGACAAGCAGCTTTTATCTCAGCAGGAGAGGCTAGCAAAAACAGATTAGAATCAACATTATCGTTTTGTCAAAGGAAGACGCCACTCCTGAAGAGAGGCAGATGAGCATTATTGTAACGGAATAACCTCAAAACCACTAACCTCCTAGTTTAACAATTCTCGCGTCGTAGAAACCGTCGTCCTCGAGGCCAGACTTCTGCCATTTCACTTGGTACGTCTTCACGGGATCAAAATCAAGCAAGGAGACGGGTTTGAAGTTCTTGAGAGACCTTACGCTCACAATGAAACGTTGGCTACGGCCTCCGTCCGAAAATACAACATACGCATACTTCACTCCACACTCAGACATGACTCTAATCAATCTAGCAAAGGAGTTTCGAACAATTACTCCAAAACGATGGAAGAAAGCCAGACAGCAAAACGTAGAGATGCGGGTATCACGAACAGCAGTCCCAGTCACGACCGTTACGGTAGGGATGGCGGTTGACTGCGGACTGGCGGCCGGCGGGAATACGAATGGTCGGCGCAGGACTACCAACGCAAATCCGTCTCTCTACTTAAAAAAGCATCTACGCACTAATAGTCTTACCAAGAA